CACGTGGTCGAAAATGTTGTTTTCTGTTATTTGTAGCCCTTTTAATACCGCCTTTTTGATGACGGAATTCGGCGTTGTCGAGGGATTTGGGAAAACGTGCGTCCGTTTGGTTTCTTGGGCATTTGGGCGCGGCTTGTTCGATGAGGTGTCTCTGTGGGACTTTGAGCGTTGAATGGCAGCGCCAAGAAGCAATCCTTTTAGTGGGGCTCCCATGGGGCTCCTTCTCGCAAATAACTGCGCCTCAAAGCTAACCAGCAGTTTTTCATTTGTTGAATCCTATGTGGTTTTTATGACAGTTGTCTTTCTTGTTTGATTTTGTGGACTCCCGATTCCCCCGCGATCAGCGTGACCAACAGGGTGTACAAAGGTTTTTGTTCGATGTTGCCAGATTTCTGGCTTTGACTGTCGGAGTTCTGGGCAAAGACTGTGTCCATAATCAAAGAAGCCACTTTTGACAGCGGGGAGCCGGAGCTAGGCAGTTTCACATTCTCAGTGATTGCAGAGTTCTTGAATTATTCCCCGATGTCGATGTCAACGCCCATGGTTGATTTGTCGGTAACATTCGCCGCCTGTCTCCGCACTTCTGATCCGGCCCAGTTCAGAATTTGTGACTTGTGTGAAGTTCATTACTGCGCCTTTATCTGCTGTCACGGAAATAAGCGCTGATAGCACTACGTACTTTGGGAGGTGCGCTCGCCCGAAGCTTGCCTCCTTCCGAGGTAGTCGGGAGGTTTGTGGTGGGTGAATTGAAAATGCAATCTGGAGTCACGGTCGGCTGCGTCGGTGTGCTGTCAGAAGCACAATGGGATACAACTACCATCGGTTTGTCAGTAAGGTTGGGGTCGGCTCAAATGGCGCCTAGCAGTAGCCTGTTTCGTACCTAGACCCTAAAGCACCGTAGCTTTCGCACCGCTGAGAGGCGATTTCCAGATATACACCTAGTCGTTTTGTAGGCCTTTTGAATTCTGGCAGTCCGCTCTGAGGTCTTCTGTACGGTAGATGGGGACTACACAATGACTAGAAACACAACTGTTTGATTGCTTCCTTCTGGCGTAACCCATCTGGGTGAGGCGATTTGTGGTCGCGCTTTGGGATGACACTACCAAGGAACAACCTTGCCTTCTTCGTTGTTGTTATTTTTTCGCGAAGAACACCCAGATGATCAGCCTGCTTTTCCTTATGCGCCTGCCCACCAGAGACGCCGTGGTGGCCTTACTTGCCGCATTGCAGAGATGAATGGCCCTCTTTGCAACCAGCGGGTCCGTGATGGATAGTGCAAGGTACACGTTCAGCGAAGAAAGTTCTTTACTAACTTTCGCCCAGGTTGCTGTTTTCTCTGTGTTTGTGCCCTTCACAGCTTTAGGAAGAAGCTACATTTTCAGGTCGAGTATTCCGATTAAAGCAAAACAGTCGTACTGGTCATTCTGACTTAGCGGTGAGGATTTTTCTTCATTTTTATGGCTCTCTTTTCATTTGCAAAATGCACTGCACCCCTGAGATAGAAGCGGTTGGGGCAGGCAAACGGGTCAGGACAGTTATCTAGTTAGCCTACCTGGTCGTCCAGTAAACCCGCTCATTTTAAATGCGTTCAGTCCTTGCAGGTGTGGCACTGCACACCATGCCTTACATTCGAAGGATACCCATTTCACCCACATCTGTTGTGGTCCATCAACAGCCTTACAGAGCAACTTGTATTAATTTGAGTCATGACTGCGACTGTATGCACCACAGGAACCAAGTACAAACCGACAGAGGCTATCACGCAAGTGCTATGTTAGAGTGCAAAAATTCAACAAATGACACGAATGGACTCTGTAAGTAGATTGAACAGAGAAAGAATTCATTCACAGATTTGCGCGAGGGCAAACGCATCCAATTTCATACGTGCCATGCAGCAGTTAAGATTTGAATTCCACGAACGAACCACACTAACGACCAGGAACCCACTCGAGCATCTGTCTGCTGTCACATGCACCCAAAAGTAACAGACAGTTATCAACTGTGTACTGTACTTGGATTTGGCGCAATAGGTGCCAGCCTTACCATGGCTACTGCTGTCTCAGTCGCGTTTGGCATTACGTGGTAGACTCACGGACCTCACGCGGAACAAGTGAGAAACGATTAGTTGTGGCTTTGCACTGGCTTTTATGCCGTTTTGACACATATCCCAATGGCTTTGAGCTACTGCGGTTGATACCGCTGATGAGGCGTGCGAGTAGTGTATTCCCGTAACTCCGCTACGCGTCTCTTGAAAAGTGAGATCTGTTACGGACTTTGTGGAGTCGGTTTGTAGCGTTTGTTTGCAATTGAGCAACAGTCAGTGAATATCCAAGAAAGTAAAGGAGGACGCGTTCAATGAGAAGATCGATATTCAGTTTTGTAAACAAGATGCATATGAGAGTTTTGCTTTCCAGTAGTCTGCATCTTTTCAGTTGGTGTTTCTCTAATTAAAAACTCCGCAGCGAAGGCCTTGTGCTTTTCACCGGTATCCCGGTTCAGGCTGCAAGACGCTAGCTGCGCAGCCAGCGGTAAAGCAGGTGCCGCGTGGGATTCCGCGTACATAAGTGCAAATAGTGGATAACTGTGATGAACATCAAAAGCTCGCGAGCTGGAGAAAGCTTTTGCTACCGGAAACATACATGTTCGATTTCATTTGATACGATCTTGGAAGCTGACGGTTAGAGAAAATGTAAGTGAATGAGGTGACCCGTTAATTCGCTTGCAAAAACACTGACCAGAAAGGAGGACCGAACGCTTCGAAGAAATGTTTGTGTGAGCCCTTGCAACAGAGCCTATAGTGGTGGTGCATACGGGTGAACTCAACGTAAACCTCATTCGCTCGTCGGAAAAAGAAACAAATTATGAAATATGCGTCCCGAACTGTGAGAAGGTGCTAGATCTGGAGGGTCTTTATCCAGTGCTGTTTAGAGATTCATCTAACATGGGAGAAAAATAAGTTACTTGCAGAACGGGATATGTCGACGTTTATTCCTATCTTGAAAAGGGGCACGTTGAGGATGTGAGAAAACCAATGTGGCATAAACCTTGTGGCCGTGGTATCGAAGGTTCCTCCTGTTCCTATTCTCCGAGGGGGGCGAGATGGCTCAGTGGTTAGAGCACGAATTTACTGACCGGAGTGTCACTGGTTCGAACCCGATCTACGCCTCTCGACCTCTGTCTAGGTTTGGGCTACCTGGGAGAATCCCAGCCCTCATGCTTCTTTCTAGTGGCACCGAAAGGGTGCTACGGTTGAACGATGTTTGAAGGTTTACTCAACGCATAGAGAGGTAGGTTCGTGAGAAATCGGGCTTGGTTGAATCCTGCGGCGACCATGTTTTCACCCTCGGACAAATTCTGGAACAGTGACAATACGTCTACACACCGACAATAAAGACCTTACTTGACTTGAAAGCTACCTTTGAATGTATGGACAGCCAGGCACATTGGCAGTGCCTATGGAGCAAAGTGGACCCCAATAACTTTGGGGCTCATTTACGACGCTGTACATTTGGTCCGACGGACGCGTGTAGACCTACGGGAAACTCTAACCTGAGTTCAATACATCAAGTGATGTCGGGAAACGCTGCCCTCTTCAGCCCCACTTGTTCAATTTAGTCATTGGTACAATTATGGGAGATTTACTAACAGCCTCTTATACCTGTAGGGTTGAAGTGCTCCCAAGGCGTTCGCTCGGCGCCGTCGAGCACGCACAGGACATAGCTTCCCTTACATCTGACACTGCGGTAGTGCGAACGATACTAAATTATCTTAGTGATTGCACCGCCCGTAGCGAAGGTGTGCCATCAGCTCATCTGTCAAGGGCTGAGTTTACAATGCCGCTGCATAATATTATACAGGTCAGAAACCTTGTCGTTGCGCGCCGAGAACGACTTCCTCGAAGAACCCTTTTTAAGCAACCAGGCGAAAGCTAGAAACAAGTCAGGGGCGGTCAAGCAATGGCTTGGCAAACTCAACTGCACTAATAGCTCTCGTTGCCCTGGATGGTGACTCAGACGCACAACTGGTTAAAGACAGGGTCATGCCCAACTTACTGTGCCATTTGGTGCAATTTTTATGGCCTACTGGAAATGGAGCTGCTCGTCAACGGAGGTTGCGTTAGAACGCTGCTACTCTCCGGTAATGTGCCTTGTGTACACCAGGAATCGTTCAGACATCGTTATGACCTACATAAATCAGCCATTTTGGCTTGGTTGTTTGGCTTGAGTGCTGCAAAGATTTCGTGTGCTACACTAGCTGTAAATTTGTTTAGCAAGGTGAAACCAGGCCAGGAAGGCCAGAGGGGAGCAGTCAGGCCGGGTGCAGCAAGACCCCGTACCACGAGTAATCGGGCCGTGAATCGGTCTGGAGGTAAAGTCGTACTGTCCTCTGTGATAGGAGTGTGAAGGTTCTAAGGCACCCCCTTAGGAGACCAGCATGTCCATATTCATGGAAGTGGCGGTGCTTCCTTCTCTCAAGAAACTACGGGTTAGAATAGGTCGGCTATAAAAACCGCTGACAGCAATCACCAAACGGTTGACCGCGACCACCGGCAAGTTGTTCAATACAGGCAACTTATATTTAAAACCGAAGAGTACGGCTTCCGGAGGCCAGCCGCCCCTAAAAACTGAACAGCACGTCAGTTGAACAAATGTGCCACGTACAGGCTACGGACCAAACAAAGCATGCTCTGATTAATCGGATTACTAGCCAATCTGGACCGAGCATTTTTAGCTCGACGCTTCTCACCCCCTCACGGAGATTCTAGCACGACCCTGTGAAGCACTCTGTGATTACCCTAAAAATACAGTTGTAATAGTTTTCCTTTGTCTCCATAAGGGGCTTTGTGGAGCCACCGTGCCTTCCGATATACCATGGTGGGAGGATCAGGAAGCCAAGCGAGCGATTCAGAGTTGCACAACCGTTGAGAAAGCCATAGCAACCTGCGACAATCCGAACCCACGACGTCAATTCCGACTGAGCAACTCCAAATAATTTTACAGCGACAATGGAAGCAGTCTGAAGAAGCTCAAATGAGGCTCGTTGAATCTCTGATGCGTGGTATATCGGTGAGTGCGACCAAAATACTCGGGCCTCCGTCTTCCACATATGCTGCTGTCAGTTCTATTATTTAATTCAATTTCGACGCTGAATCTGGACGAACTTTTGAAAGTTGGTTTAAGAACTATGAAGACATGTTTCAAACCGACTCTGCTCAGTTAAATGATGCATGAAAATGCTGCGGAATCTGGGGGCAGCTAAACAGGATCGTTTCACGAATTTCATACTCCTCAAACTCTCTCGTGATCTCGGTTTCGCAGGTGCTCTCGAACCCATATATTCGGTGAGAAAAGCTGCTTAAGGAGCAATTGAACAATTGATCAATATTTGTTATCAGTGTCAGGATTACTAAAAGGGATACTGAAGGTTTCATCACTTATGCCAGTGTGTCCGAGTGCTTTCAGCCCAGTAAACACGTCACCGCGGCACCACCGGTGGTGCCACCGGTGGCAAGAGGCGGCCAATAGGGGTGGCATGTTGCACTTGCCACCGATGGCGCCACCGGTGGCTAAAAGGGGCCAGAGGTGGCAGCCCAAAAATTTCATGACATATTTAATCGGTGGTGCATTCAAACAAATCGGTTCCAAAAAAATTCGTAAGTAGAGCTCCAGTACCCAGAGTATCCTGTTACATTTGTTTTCAGAAGGCTTTCATGCAACAAATGCTGTGTTTGGCTTGTATTCACAGACAAAATCAGAGACAAAGCTAGCCACAGTTAGCCACCGGTGGTACTGTGTTTACTGGGAGCTCAGCTCCATGACTCAGGATCAATTCAAGTGTCTCATCTTCGTGGATAGGCTTCAGTCGCCACGTGATGCAAATATTGGGACTCAGCTACTAAATCAAATTGAATAGGATCCAGAATTGACGCTTCAGAAACTAACCATCGAACGACAGCATCGTGTCAATCTTAAGGTTGATGCTGTGATGATTGAACATTCCGAATTCTCTCAGCCTGATGTGGAATGCAAAGTAACTTCCAAAAGGCAATCAAATTCTAAACGGACTCCAAGAAAACCGCCCACACCTTGTTGGTTTTGTGAAGGATGGCACTGTTTACGTCACTGTCCTTACCGGAACTACAGGTGCATAAAGTGCAGTCAAAAAGGTCACAAAGAAGAATGCTTCAGAGACAACTTCAGGAGCTCCCACAAACACCCACCCGATAAAAGAACGCATGGTGGAGCCATGACCTCTACATTCAGGGTGGAACACTGTGATTACCCGCAAAATACAGTTGTACTAATATTCCTTTGTCCACATAAAAAGCTCTCTGAAGCTACCGTGCCTTTTGATATACCATAGTGGGCGGATCCGGAAGCCAAGCGACCGATACAGTGTTTCCCAACCGTTCAGGAAGTCACAGCATCCGGTACTACTGAAAAGGCACGCGTTGTACACAGCTGAATGACGACTAATATAGGAATACCTTACTTTCTGCCCCCTCGTGTCGAGCCAAATCCCCTGAAGCCGATTAGGCCACACTATTAGGTTATCGCCTTCGCAAATGGTTTTCAACGAAAACCCTACCGTCCGCTGCCTCGCGGATCAGACATTTACATCAAGCTGGGAGCAGCGTCGCCGAAAAACCCTACATCCTCACACGGGGTCAGTAACCCTGGTGCGTAACGAATGGTGTTCGGAAGAGATAACTCGTCCACGATGAATGAACTAGCCACTCTCCATAAGTTACGTTGGCTCAGCCACCTGTTTCGTATGCCAGTTAAGCTTCACAGCTGGTTACGGGTTCTTCAGCAGACATGATACCCTACTAAATCCCGGTCACTGGAATTTATCTGCTGTGCTTCAGACGAAGCCATTTATGGAACCCGAGGGCGAAACGGCCTAGAATAATGTGCGACCGTTGTGTGTCTAGTAAGCCTTCAGGACCCGTTTCCTCCAGTACACGCTTTCAACTTCCGAAAAGTCGTGTACTTACAGGGCATTTTAACGACTGTCCCACTGCTTTCCAGTTAGATTGCGTCGTTTTATCAGCTTAACAGGGTGGGAAGATTCGTTTGTTTCGCTGGACTGAAACCGTAAATAAGTATGGGTCATGTCATGCTTCAAGGGTTCAAGCTTCACCTTCACGATCGACGCAAAGCACTAGCCTTGAAAAGGGAAAGGAAAGGGCTCTGGCTCAAATGTCCTTGTATTTCCGAAACCGCAGGCAGAGTTATTGGCAAACTCCCTTACAAGGCTGGTCAATTATTTTTTAATCAAGCGGAGCCACCACCTGATTGGGAGATGGCTTCTGTCGTGCCAATTTACAAAGCAGTTGGCATCCAACTATCAAACCCTACTATCTGGATTTCTGGTAAGCGAGATGGCTCAGTGGTTAGAGCGCGAATTTACTGACCGGAGGGTCCGTGGTTCGACTTCCCCTGTCTAGGCTTGGACAACCTGGCAGAATCCCAGTCCTCGTGCTTCCTTCTGGTGGCATGACAGTTAGGCACAGAAGGTATTACAGCTGAACGGTTTTTCATTTCTAAGTTTGGAGAGATTATTTCATTCTAGAACCAGTCTTTTCAAAATCCAAAATTTTGTCTCCTTACATGTACCAGATTCAACGGAGTGGTCAAAATACTATGATTGCTAAACATTAACCTCGAGACCTTAATGCCGAATTAGTCAAGAGGACCAACTTATGCAACATGTGTCATGCTACGTACAATAAAGTATTGACCTTGCAAACTTCAATCAGTGAGAGTCTCCGTCGAAAACACTCCAAGGCGTATCATTGTCGACCAGAAATCCAAAGGGAACAGCCAAACCAATGAACCGCGGTGATCAAGGACATGGTATCGGAAATCCAAAAGGAAACTATTCAGTGTGACGTCAGAAAGAGTCGTTTTGGAGCATGTTACAATAGTCACGTCGATAGTAGGGGACTGATTCTACAGTATTGCCGAGATTCAAAGGTGGCAATATCCAAACCATTTACAATACTCACAATAGCCAAGGTCGCTCTCCACCTGCTTCCACAAAAAGAACTACGTATTGATGAAGCAGTAACAAGTCTTCCACACAGTGTACCGCAGTGCTCGATACTTGGCTCTAAGCCGTCGAACGTACCACCCACGTAATCATCACTCACATCGCATGCTGATGACAAGACCATCGCATCCTGTCCGTAGCAACGGATACACTGGTGTTGTAACACGTCTATAACTTATGCCGCCTGGAAGCTCTCAAATAACCTTTGTTTAACGTTGACGAATGCACAATAAGGCACAGACAAGATTGGACCGTTCCCATTAGGTGCTGCAGTGTGGAAAGATCTTTGAAACATACCCGTCTAGTGAACTCAATCAATCCTGTATCTGAAAACAGCCAACTTAAGGAGATGTTTGTCCAAACCAACCTGGTGGTATCTCAGCCCTCATGCTTCCTTCCAGTAGCATAGCAGCTAAATGCCGAAAGGGAATCGCAGCTGGACGATTTATCTACTTTTGTTCGGGCACAGTTTTCGACTTCTGTACGATACCTCCAAATTAATTTGTCTAAGTCAGAATACAGCCGAGTCGTCAAATTTTCGATAGTACCCAAAGAAGGGCTAGCAAAAACATCAGAGGGTTCAAGTTTCAACCAGTTTTGAGGATGGTTAGATATCTTTAATCTGCCTAGCCTGAGATATCGATGGCTGAAGGGTGCCCTGATTCTCGTTCCTTAGATCTTCATTCATCCTGTTTACCCATGCATTGATCTCTTGCGGTCGTATCGTTTGCTAGGCTGCATCTCCAGTGTGGTGACGCAGAGAACTACCTCAGGTCACTTATTGCTTACGTCTGCATCCCTCTCCGGGTCCACCCAATTAATTTCCAAACCACTAGTCCAATAAAGCATGACTTCTGGGCGTTGGGCTACTTTACATGGAGGTTAACTCATCATAGAAGTCTGTCAGACTGACCACTTGTTCTTTCAGTCGTTCTAGTGGGTGCCCGTTCCTTGGATGTAACCTCCTAGTGATCCTAACCGTTAGTGATAATCTTGATTCATTCTTTTTCGATGGTATTACATTAGATAGTTAACTATGGTTTCATCAACACCCTTTTGGCGCACTGTACTTTCTCACCTTCGTTAAGCAAACAGTGGCCCAGGTTATACTCGACTGTTTTTCAACCGGTGATTTTTATGGGGATAGGACATGCCAGTCTTTATCACTCATGGCGTGTTTCATTCCTCCATCGAACTTCTAAAAGGGTATCGAGGAAACAGTCCTTTTCCATAGCCTGATGTATCCACAGCACAAAGATCACAGCTGCCTTCATTTGTTTGCGGTAAACTGTAAGTTGGATACGGTATGGTGAAATATTCCACGTGCCCTCGTCTTCAGCACCACTCATCTGACCGCCCAACCATCTTTTTTGTTAATGCATGTCGTTTCATCTTAATTGGCGCATTATCATCATCGCATTGCCACTCGTCTCGTCGCCATCTTTAGCAATCCAAAAGTCGGATGAATACGATTTATGAAGCTAATTTGGCTACATTATTAGTTGACTGACTCGTTTCTGACAGAGGCTGACGTTAGTCAGTGCCTTCTCACATTGTCATCTGGTGCCTTTGCAGGTTCCCGTGGATATTTATTCTCCAGTTTACTTTTTTTCAACCACCGAAAGTAAAAAATGTTCAAAAAGTGAGTAACCTGTCATGTTTATAGAATGATTGTAGATTTGATGAAAAAGAAGATGTGTCGTCAGTTACAAACGCCAAGAACTCCCGAGCTAAGGCTATAAGGAAAAGGGTTTGTGAGGATTACGATGTGTCAGTAGAGGTTCTTGAACAAATTCTGCCAAAGAAAGATGCACTTAAAGTCGTAAAATGGTACTGGACAATTCCTACTTTGATTGTATTTAAAGCCATGAGCACATAGAGCTATTTGCTGATCTCCAGGGAGACGTTATCTTCTTCTGCCAACGGGATGGACCATTCATTCCATCGCTCAAACTTCTGCACAAGTGTAAGTGATAAATTTCTTCGATGATGTCATTTGCTTACTTCCGCCTTCCAATCTACTGCTGTGCAGTTCTTGTATTGATATCTGTTCGTCAAGACTACCACATCGTATTGAAGTTGCTCTGAATGCGTGACCGATTATACGCATCAGATACCCGTAAAGAATAATGAAGCAAGGTCGAAGCAGTTTGAAATGGAGTTGGGTAAAGGTCATATCTGGTACGGCAGTGAAGCATCGGTGTTGAACACTGATGTCATGCTGTCGATGGTGATGTGACGTATATGGTGCAGGATGAGGAAGTTCGACTACGATCATGCCATTGTCGAAACACCGTCAAACCATACGGATCATGAAGCATCGTGTTGAACACTGATGTCATGCTGTCGATGGTGATGTGACGTATATGGTGCAGGATGAGGAAGTTCGACTACGATCATGCCATTGTCGAAACACCGTCAAACCATACGGATCTACTTGTCAGGATCGAAATACATACAAATATGCATCTTACACTTTTTTATGCTAAGTCCATAAATGAGGTTCTACCTGCATTTACATTTCAACATGATAGTCAACCTAAGTGTTCTACAGGTCAAGAGACCGTTGGGTTTGCCGTCACGAAGAGACTGGATCTTACCGTGGTGTGACGGTTTGCGCACCTCAGCGATCCATTGAGCTATACTGGAGAGTGTCCCGCGACACTCACAGAGTCTCTCA